CATTACGCTGTCATGAAGCGGGCCTTTGATGAAGGTTGGGGTGCTGCCATCGCCAAAACGGTAATTCATTTAATTGCATGTTTAATAAGGAAACTTACATATGATTAGTAAGTTTTAAATAAATTATTCTTTTGGTGAAAGTTGGAAATAGGTAATCATGTTCCACTTGCAGTCAAAAAGCTGGATGAATCCGCATTAACCCTGTGATTTATTACTATTTAATAGAATTTACGTTTTTATAAGCTTTAAACTTTGCTGAATGTATTCAATTCTCGATCTCTGCAGATATATATTTTTTATTTTCTTATGTGTAACAGTGTAAGTCTAGAAACTAAAATTATTTAAATATGCATATTAAAAAGGAGTTGATACTCATTGGTTACAAATTAGAGATAGTTAGGCTGAACATTTAAGGGTGTTTGTTACTTTTTTTTCTCCACTTGTGAATACAAAACTAATGAATTTTTATTTGAAAAGTTTACCAATGAAATGATTCAGTTAACGTTGCCAATTTTAATAAGGCCAAATGGCCATGAAAACTACTTTAAACTTGTAGTGTTTGAAAGGACTTCTTCATAGGTTACATCATACATATGTCTAATTAACTAATAGATGATAATTAAATCGAAGCATAAACGTTATTTGTGTTATTATCTATTAAATAGTAATTTTTTGCATATAATGCATACGAGTTTGTTAAAGAATTTTGAATATTGAATACTTTCCTTTTTGGTTCTACTTATAAGTAACAATGTTGCCAAGCACGAAACTACTTATTTTTGTCTTAAAAAAAAAGGGTGCATTTAGAATTTGGGCTTACCACTTTCCTCACATTATGTGCCATGTATGAATTAGATGGGACAAGAAAACTCTGAATCGTTTTGTGATAAAGTGATGCTTTAGAACCCGGGATAATTCCAGGTCGAGGTGCTGCCACCTCGACCCTGGATCTTCACACATGCGGGGCCCGCCACTTACTAAATCCCGGGATCTCCAGCTTTTTTCTTTGTGACATGTGCCAATGATGTTACTCGACAAAAGGAAATGATATGTCATGCAAATCAATTTAGAGGGCACTCAGTTAGTTTAAAGTTGAAAAGAGGGAGAAAGAGCCAAGATGTACCTGGTTAGATTTTGCTTGCCATTAATAAATCTATGTTGAAATGTTGGTTTCTTCAGAATATATGCTCCATCTTCTTGTTTATCATTTGTAAATGCAAAACTCTTGATCCTGTACCATTACATATAGGTATCTCTGGATGCTGCAAAAGTTGTAAATGTTACTCCTCGATATGCTAAATTACGAGCAGGAGTAAACGGCTCATTGAAAGGACAGATTATTGGGTGGGAGAATATTGAACTTACAAGTGATCGGCCCTTAGAGACTATGATAAGGAATTCAGACAGTTGGAAGAAGAGTATCCTGACAGGATCCTTATTGCTTCAATAATGGAAGAGTATGGTAAAGCTGCATGGCAGGAACTCATTGAACGAGTTGAGGAAACTGTTGGTAAATTTAATTGGTTTCATATATATACAAAATATTTTCTAAATTGTGAGAATTAAAACAAATTAAACTACTTGAACAAGTACAACAAGTATATTATTTGCAGAAACACAAACATAATATAAATTCCAGAAATTAGACTGAAAGTTAAATAAATCTGGAAAGCATATAAATATGAAAATAGACTTTTAATCCGAGGTCTGTGTAATCACAGTTTCTTTAAAATAAATTCTTCTTCTTATCGTAAGTGCTTGATGTCTAGTCCGAGCGTCTGTTTCTCAGAATACAACGGCAAAACCATCAGAATCTGAGCACTACAGAAACTACTCCGACGAACCGATTTAACGTATGAACAACCACTAGGACAGAATTTGGGAATTTTTCGTGTGTTTTCTGGTGAGATTTTTCATATGTTTAAGGGGTCAATTTTTGCTCCGTTCGGTCCGACATTCGTGTACGCAAGTTGCGCCCGCACACAATTTTAAGGTCCGAAGGCAATTTCGGTCCGAGATTTGCACCCCCTGCGCGCGCACGTGGAGAGAGTTTCTATGCTACACATGATTACACATTTCCAATGTATAGCTATATTTACAGTGGTTCTTGCTTTCATATTTTTTCTATGTGGGACTAAGTTCAATTTTTTCCCATATAACCATCTTCCAATAGTCATTTTTGAACTCTAATTTTTCATTTACCCAAACTTCACTTTTGACAAATAAATATATGATTTTGATGCTCTCACGGAAGAGAACACGGATCAACTTTGATTTTCCAAATTGGACCAACCGGTCCCACCGAAAATTTTGGTGTGATTTTTTCCAACAGAAACTGGAATTGTAAGCAATCGATACTGTAGTCTTATTGCTCGAGTTACAAAACATTTCACAATATCTAAGTTTTATTACAGTTATATTCTTTAAGGTCAGTCGTTATTTTTTGATGTGGGAAGCTTTTGAAATCAACTTTTCATGCCCTCATGGTATGCCAGAGCGTAAAATGGGTGCTGCAGTTGGCCAAGATTGTGCACTTTTGGAGGAAGTATGCGGTTGGATTAATGAAAAAGCCACGTTTCTAGTTTGGACAAAGATGACTCCAAATATCACTGACATTACACAGGTTTGTATTATTGCGTGTGCCATTTTTAGGTCCATCTGCTTCATGCTGTCTACCAACAACTTTCTGCTAATGATTCAACTTATTGCTGTTTTATAATAGCCAGCTAGAGTGGCTCTTAGTACTGGATGCGAAGGGGTTTCTGCTATCAATACGGTCATGAGTGTTATGGGAATTGATCTTGATACCTTTAGACCAGAGCCTTGCGTGGAGGGGTAAATTCTTTGCTAAAACATGAATGATTTTTGAGTTGATCTTCTTATGCTTCATTTTTTTATTTTTTATTTTTAACTTCATCCCAGATACTCAGACTCCTGGTAGCTATTCTTCAAAAGCAGTCCACCCTATTGCACTTGCAAAAGTGATGAGCATTGCACTGATGATGATAAAGGAATTTGGAGATAAAGACTGTTCGCTTTCCGGCGTTGGAGGCGTAGAGACCGGTGGTGATGCTGCTAACTTGATACTTCTTGGGGCAAGTACAGTTCAGGTTGGACAGCACTCTGACTAATTTTCACTTGGTTTTTGATGTTGTGAATCTGTAGTCCATAAATTTTTGAAGTTGTATATCGTAGAGTTTAAAGTATAGTGTATAAATGATTATTACAACTACAATACGGAAAGATAAACTCTCAAAGTGTTAAAACCGAACCAATCGACCCAAAGCTTCTTCAATACTACCAATGGAGTATCCTACGATGTTGAGCTCAGATTTGTGCCACACAAAATTATACACCGTCGTCCACGGGAATGACAATGGATCTACTGAGAAAAGATCCATCGGAAGCCACCAAGAATTTCCCCGGAGATATGAAATGCTCCCACTTGGTTATCGATCTATGCTTTCTCTCTATTGTTATGTCAACATCAAATGAACCAAGTGAAGAAGTCTGATAATTATAGAGGCAAAACCATTTGAATTCAATTTCAAATATTATATTATGGAAATGTGACATGACTAGGAAGGAAAATTGACCACAAGATTAAATCCAATAGTCCAAAATATTTCTAAACTAGCACAATTCCCTTCATTTCTCTAGACCAATTAACCTGTGATATGTGGATGTAGTGATCCACCTCACATATATTCTCTTGCTATCACTATCTCACACATATCACGGTAAAAAATGCTTTTCAGTTGTGTTGGCAGTATGTTCTTGTTGCATTATGCATTAATATAATAGCTTAATCTTCTTTTTTCTGTGAAGTCAGAAAATTCCTTTTCAGTTATCTTCATAATCGAATGTGTGTTTTATCAGAGAGAAGGGTAGAGTTCGATCAAGTATTTTGCATCTTTTTCCTTTGACAAATGACTTTCTAAGATATTCGCTACTTTGAAAGAGTTTATAATTATCTGTCAAAGCAGATAGATAATGGATGTACGGACACATATTGGAGTAAAACTAAGATAGAGAACCAAGTTTACTGGAAGATCTGTTTCTATTATACATTTCCGGGAAAAGATAGTAAAAACTTTACCAAACCTATGAAAAAGAACATAAGTATAAAATCTCCATGCTGCATGCTAAAGTTTCTGTTATTAGCCTGTTTTCATTTATCTTCTTTGTTATTAAAGAAATTAATATGTGACCTGAACGATAATTCTAGGTCTGCACTGCAATGGTGTTATGATGCATGGGTATCCTCTTGCAAAGAAACTCTGCACCGAGCTGAAGGATTTTATGAAGAAGCTCAATATAAGATTTTAGAGGGTATGGATTTTTTAAAAATATTTACTTGAAACCGGAGTAAATAACAAGAACTACAGTTTTGTAGTCTTTTTTTTTTTTTTTTTTTTTTTTTTTTTTTTTTTTATTTATTTACGCATCTACCAGGGCTTCGCTGGATTACTTCACCACTCACATGGATTTGGTAAGAAAACAAGAAGAAGCTATTCGTGAATTGAGGGCTCTGAAGAAAGATTTGCCGTAGTCCATGTGAGTGGTGGAGTAAATGGTCTAATAAACAAGTTGGATTGAATTTTGATGTGTATTTCATTGTTGTCTATGGGTCAACGTCAAAATATTTAACGGTGCATGTCAATTTTATTGTTTTAAATCATTAGTCACTGAATGCTAGATTAAGAGCATGTTTGGCTAAGCCTTAAAAAAAGGGTAAAAATGAATTTGAAAGTAACTTTCTTTTTTGCCAGAAACGAAGTTAGGTGACGACAGGGATTCATATCTCAAAAAGATAGATATCAATGGATAAAAAAAAATAAAAAAAAATGGGGGAACTCAATGGATAAAATTGTGTTCATTACATTGTGCATCCCTATATGCACAGCACTGCACGTACATGGCAGTAAATGAGTAACTATTTTATCCATCTAAATGATACAGCAATCTTTAAATTGCAACAAAAGAAATTCTTTTGCTGATAAGCCAAAATGATATAATTTTATCCATCTATTAGTAAACTTACTGTACAATTCAATTTTACTAACAGGGTCAAATGAAAATGAATTGAGAGATCATAAACACCAATATAAAGATATAATACATAAAACCATGATTTATTTTTATCGAAATCAAGAACCTCTAATCAAGTATGGAAAACCATTTAACAATCAAACCACCTATAACAAGGTTATTACCGCTTTGCTATCCACCAGAATACTATGGTAAAAACCTGCAATTTTCGATCTTGAAATCCCGTGTAGCCATCCTTAAGGTAATCAGAATTGTAAACAAAATTGATCGAGTGTATAATTTTTTTCAAAGCGTTTTTCTTTGAATAAGTTGATGGATATGTATTAGAAACTCGACATATGAAAGCCGGCCTGAAGTCTTGTCCTCTACCATGTAGGAGAAAAACATTGTCCCTGAAACACCAAAAGTACCGGATTATAGAAGACCACAGCAAACTAAAAAATACTCTAAATCCAAAAAATTGTCCAACATCATGTCAGCTCCATGCTTCTCTTTTCATTTTCCCCGGCTTGGATAGTTTAAATAGGTTTTCCATTCACTAACCTGATGGATCTCCTTTTCTGCATAATTTTAAGCTGCAGTGCCAGAGGGAAAAACATTACTTGCTGAAAATATTGTGCATGTAGAAAAATAATAACCGTATTCAGTGAAGCAGTCACAGGAACTTCTCTGACGCCTTATCTCATTGACAATATTGTTTAGCTTCTTTGACAATGGATTATCATATTGCTGCAGTACAAACTGAAAAGGCAAAAATTGGAAACTAATGCATCTTGACAGAATAAAGTACCAATAAAGTAGGACATCCAAGTTCCTAAAAAACTCTTTAGGTAGAAAAAGTATCCAGGGAAAGGAAAATGTATGCATGTTATTTCCAAATGAAATCATCATCACTAAGTATTTTAACGATATCAAGTATGTTGAAAATAATAAAAATGTTCAACCATGATACGGGTGAGAATACCTGACTAGAGATTTCTTCAACCAATGAAATGCCTAACACCTGGCGCGATATATCAGGATTGATAGAGTTACCAACATAAATTAAACAATCTTCACCATTCTCGAGAAGATAAATTCCCTCATCAGTGATGTGCTCACTGGAAAGTAGAACTGTCTTGGGAATGAGGGAATCATCCATCTCCTGACAATTCAGCATTAAGATAAGATATGAGTGCTATGTCAAGAGCACCTATTATGCCATCATGAACAAATTCATACCTTCTCATCAAGGTTGTGAATGGCCATCATCCTGGAGTATACCAATGGGATTGTCAAATGAGTAGATAAATGGGAAACATAATTAATCCAAAAGGACCTATCATCAATTCTTCCATCAGCTTGCAATCCATAGCTTTTGAGTAAGCCCGAAAAGTTAAAAGAGAGGGGGCTAAATAAAAAATAAACAAATGAAGCAGAATCCCAAAATGGGAGACAAAACACTATCTGCTGTACATATAAATCTGGTCTAATTATAAATACTGAGGTAAGAAAATGGAGTAATAATTTCTGACAAATCTAGTCGAAGAAAAAAATCCACGTCTACTCATAAATTTGGTCATACTGTACTTAGCCCCTGTTTAACAATTATTTCAGAACCCTTTATTTTACATTAACCCTGAGGAATAACTCAGTAGTCAGGCTTTGAGTTTGCTCTCCAATGGTCACTGTTTCAGGTTCCCTCAGGGCCACTGAGGTAAGTTCCCGGCTACAAACTTCAGGGTCCCGTGGGATTAATCGAAGTACGCATGAGTTGGCCCGAACGCCTATGGTTGTAAAAAAAAGCATACTCATTTCCAACCACACATTCATACGATAAATATTCTGCATATAAATCCAAAACTTCTTCCAACTTTTTAACCACACATTCTCCAAAAATTCATTATTCAAAACTTTGTTTTTGCCAAATAATGCCAATCAAACAGGGGCTTAATCTACACATTTCGTATTACCCACAACTTTTACCTACTTTTTGACCACATATTCCTTGGAACCCACTGTTATTAATCAATTATAATTTTTGACAAACATACACTTCATTAATTAGAGCAGAATTTTGAAGTAAATTATTTTATTTTTCACTCTTCAACTTTTACAATTCTAGGCCTCAATATATAGTATACAAACAGGGACCAATAAGGTAACTATCTAAGCATGGAAGGAAGAAATTCTCCTAATCCAAATATGGTTATACAATAATACATAATCAATCCCATAATAATTACGGGATTTCTCCACTCCCCCTTAAGTTAGATCGTAAATGTTGACCATGTCTAACTTGTAAATGAAATCCTCAAAGCTTTGTCGCAGTAGTCCTTTTGTGAAGATATCTTCGATTTGTTCTTTGGTTGGAACATAGGTCATCCATATAATCCCACCTTCAACTTTTTCTTTGATGAAATTTCCGTCTACTTTCACATATTTGGTTCGATCATGTTGGATTGGATTGAGAGAGATGTTAATAGCTGTTTTGTTGTCTCAATAGAGTTTGATTAGAAGTTTTACCGTAACCTATAATTTTCTTATTCACAGTCCTTCACATATTCCTTGTACAACTGCTCTAAACTCAACATCAACATTACTTCTAGCTTTCACATTTTGCGCTTACTTCTCCAAATTAACAAATTTCCCCAATAAAAGGTACAATAGCTTGTAGTTGATATCCTATCTTCTCGTGAACCAACCCAGTCTGCATCGGTGAAGACTTCTATTTCCGTTCTTTCATTTTTTATTAATAGTCCCTATCCAGGGATACATTTGAGATATTTGAGGATTTTGTATATTGCTTCCAAGTGAACTTCCTTTGGAGAGTACATGTGTCGATTTATCACACTGCGAATGCAATATCAAGGCTAGTGTGAGATTAATTTTCCAACTAGTCGCTGATATCTGTCCTTTACGAGTGACTTTCTCATGCTTTCATCTTTTCTTCCTACCTATAGTGGTATAACACTTGGTTTGCATTCAATCATGCCAGTTTCATAAAATCAAGTATGTACTTCCGTTGCAAAACACTAATACCTTTCTTTGAAGTGGCCACTTCCATTCTCAAGAAGTATCGCATCTGTCCCATAGTTGTGGGTGCTGGGAAGATGATCCAGATGATAGTATTCTTGCTTGCTGCGGTGCTGCAATTGGAGGTGGCTGCGGTGTACTACCCATGACAGGAGGGAAACGTGGGCCATCTTGGGGTTGTGCAGTTGTGATCCTGGACAGTCCATTACTAAGTGGACCAGAAGTGCTTAACGGTGGTGGGACAGCAGGACCGGACATCAAACCAGAAGACACGTATGGTTGTTGATGAGGACCAGGTCCCAATTGCGGCGAAGAACCACTGGCAACGGAAACAGTGGCAGCACCCATAGAAGATGGCAGCAACCCAGGAGGAAGCGGTCTCAAAGTGAAACGAGGAGAAGGCTGAGATCCAGGTGGTGGGCCAGTGGGCCTAGTAGATGCCACATTTGGTGACAATGTATTCGGGGGGCCACTAGGGCTAGGGAGCCCAGGCCCCCCTGTAAAGGCACTGGGCAGAGGTGGACCTGGCCGGGTTCCAGCAAAAGGTGGAGGCTGCTGACCAAATGGTAAAGTGATAGGTGGTCTAGAGGCACCACCAGTAGGATTTTTTGGCTGTTGCAGATTAGGTTGATTAATTTGCAAGTCTTGCATATTATTAGCAAGAGAATTAGGAGTATAAATTGGTGGGATATTCCCCGGACGAGGTCCACTCGGAGTTGCCATCAATAACCGTAGTCAAAACAATATATAATCCAAAACCCAGATCTTTATTTAAAAAATCCCTTTATAAAATGTATCTCACCGCACTTCAATCCAGTCTAAAATTTACATGCAAACAAAAACCCAAAATCACAAAGAATAAAAACTTTCACTTTCAAATTAAACAAAATGCACATACTAAAAATGCAAAAAACAAATTAATCCAGGAACCGAGCATTGAGGTGTATTACGAACAACTGCTCCCATTGGATTTTGGTCCTGGATATTCCACAATTACACTTGAGGGGCAGCCAGTACCAGGGGAAAAATTACCTTCCTTTATAGAATGTATCTCACCCCACTTCAATCCAGTCTAAAATCTACATATAAAGAAAAACCCAAAATCACAAAGAATAAAAACTTTCATTTTCAAATTAAACAAAATGCACATATTAAAAATGCAAAAACGATAATGCAGGAACGGAGCATCGAGGTCTAGATGGAACAACTGCCCCCATTGGATTTTGGTCCTAGGTATTCCACAATTACACTTGAGGGCCGGCCAGCACTAAAGGCGAGAAAACCATAAACAAGCGCATCAAAGTTCAGGAGAGATGTTGTCGAGAAAATCGCTGTCGCTAGAGGAAGATTACCATCAAGAAACAACAATTTTAGAAAAGAAAAATAAATAAATTCTAAGGAGTTGAATTGAAATTAAACCATTCAAAACAATCAAATCGAGTGTGATTTCAACATATAATGCCCATTTTTCACAAATAAATCTGTTACTACCTTCCAGGTTTGGTAATGAAGAAGCTGACTTATTCTTGTAAAAATCAATGCAAGTCTGCAACACGAGATAAATTGGTGCCAAGGGGATGATGAACACGTCTCCCTTTTTCCCTCTCCTTCACATTAAATTGCTACCCCATTGGTAGCGTATTACCATGGTAAAAACCTTTCGGCGCTTGTCACCCTCCTGTTACTCTATCAATAAACCAAGCCTCGGTCATAGTTGGATACGTGGCCTTTTAATTGGGCTTCACTGGGCTTGTAAGAGAGGGTTAATTATGTAAGGAAAAATTTCATATCGTTAATTATAATCAATTTCAAAATTAAGAAATAAGAGTTAAAATTTTAAAAATTAGACATTAATTAAATTTTATTTATGAAAGAATTAATTAAAAATATATTTTATTAATTACATATATTAAAGTCACGATTCTATACTATTTAGTTACAAATTATTGAATTAATTGATTTCATATTATTTCTCAATCGTGAACCAAAAATTTTGTAGGTCACAATTAATTCATAAGTCACAAATCAAAAAATTATAGATTACAATTTATTTATTGATCACATATCGCAAAATTTGTAAGTCGTGAATCAAATTTTTAGGTCACATTATTTATTGGTTACAATTTATCGATCGCAAATTATTTACAGGTCATAATCAATCAAATAATTAATCAAAAACATCCCCATTCCACCCCACAACTACCGCGCCACCATCATGACGACCACCACCAATACGACCAAAATCACCACCATCTCACAATCTTAGTCCACATCACAACCATCACCATCCAAACACCAAAAGATATTATTTATATGTAATTTCCGCATTCCGCAGTTACAAGTTGTTTAAATTCATGTTCAGATAGTTTTTCCTCGGTTTTGGATTTATTTTATTAATTAAAAAAAATTGCTCCACTTTGACATATTTTGTAATTAATTAAAAGAGGGAAAATTGCAGTCGAGGTACCAAACGTTTTGTTTATTAACGGACTTGACCATAACCTTTTCATTCGTGACACATACGATATCAAACCTTTCAAAAATTCGTTCTTGGAGTCCAAATGGATGGAAATCGTTAGTGAATCTGTTAGCCGACCTAGAGACAACATTTTGACCAAATTTTGACTACGTTTTAAAGGGTAAAAATTTAACATTAGATTTTTATATTAAAGAATTAAAATAATTAAATTAAAAAACCAAAAATAAAATAAAAAGAAAAGAATTTGAAAAAAAAAAATCTTCTTCTTCTTCCCCACCAAGCCCACTCCACCCACTGAAGTCAAACCAAAGTCCACCCACTCCAATCACGTCGACCATTGCCGTCCACTACTTTCAAATCAATCTTCAACACCTAAGAATCAAGACCGTCATCAAATTTCTTCAAGTTGTGACCATCATGTTAATTCTTCAAGCTAATTTCGAGAATAACTTAGTACTTTGTTCAAGCTTGAGAGGGCGGAACAATTTGGATGAGGTGAGAGAGATAGGACACAAATTTCAGTTAAGAGTCAAGGAATAGGGTCACGACTCTTCTACCAATAGTCAAGGTGAGAAAGATTAAAAACAGCCCCTCAAGCTCTTATTTATCAGCTTGAGGGGGATACTAGATAAACCACTGCTCACATTCAACTATCCAGCATTAACAAATTCATCCTTTCTATAGATACGTTCACATACAATGAACCTGAAGAAAGAATTTCATTTGGTAGTGGTGGTTCCATTTGTTGGTTTTGATTTTTGATTTTTATTTTTTTCGGGGGTGGTGGTGTAGGGTATGTGAAGAAGATGAAGAGTATTTATTTTTAGGTTTTTTATTTTAATTTTTTTTTTTTAGAAATATAATGTTACATTTTTACCCTTTAAAATGTAGTCAATTTTTGGTCAAAATGTTGACTCTAGGTCAACTAATGGATTTAATAACAATTTTCATCCATTTGGATTTCGAGTGCGAATTTTTGAAAGATTTGGTATCGTGAGTGGTACAAATGAAAGGTTTTGATTAAGTCTGCTAATAACTGAAAGATTTGATATCTCGGCTGCAATTTTCCCTTAACAAAATGATTTGACCTGTGAACGATTGGACTCAACTTCTTTGTACTTCTGGGTGGCTCATATGGGCTCAACTCCCCTCGTAAAGCCACGAGCCAAAGGGTTGAGTGACTTGAGTCATACCTAAAATTTCAAGCTCGTCCACAAGGCTGAGGCAAGCTCGAATGTCTTTGAATTGAGTTGGCTCGGCTCGACTCGACTCGACTCAACTCGGGCCATTGGCATCTCTATCTATACTAAGGCAAAATTCACCTTTAAAAATATTGTCCAATGTTGTTGAAAAAGAAAAACACATTTATTTCACTTGATGATGATTCTACAGAAATCCTTTTCCTTTGATCGGGGGACCTCTATCTTATCCACGGTTGATTCAAAAGCAAATGAGAACGACAAATGAATTTCAATAATCCATATTCCATATATCATAATTCCAAAGGACATTTATATATAGAGAAAAGGTGGAAAAGAAAAAAATTTGTAATATCACGGTAATTAATGATTGATATATACCCAATATTTAAATGTCTTGAAATTTTTTATATTTAATTGTATTTTTTTTTTAATTATCTATTAGATTGAGGACCAATTCTTGCTCTAAATTAATCAACTTAATGGTTTATGCCATTTCAATTTAGTTGCATATAATAATGTTTTTATTGATTGTATATAATACTGTGGAAAACTTATTTAATCTTTTTTTTTATTTAATCTTTGGTTATTGCTGATTATATATATTTTCTAAGTGGGAAAATTGTAGCGAAGGTCCTAAACCTTTCATTTTCTTGCAAAATATACCTTAACCTTCCAAATTTACGACCGCGGTCCCAACCCTTCCATTTTTTAATTGCAGCCGAAGTCCATTGTATAGATTCCGTCCAGAATTCCGTTAGTCAACACTGAAATTAGATTTTTGACTCAAACTGACAAATGAAATGAGGGTAAAATGGTCCATTTATATTCATATAATAAAATAATTAAATGAAGAGCAAAATAAAAAATAAACTTCATCTTCTCCAAAATACCTCCACCTCCAAAATCAACGGCCTCGACACCCAAGTAGCCCAACTATCCCAGCACCTCCACGCCGTCGCCCGCCTCATTACCGCCTCCTCCAACATCTAAAAATGTCCTATTTGTCGTGTAGTCGCCAATCTCACAAAATCCCTTGACCATGTCTTGCCCTCTGCCACAAGTGTAAACACAAAAAGACTAATATTTTCTGGCACGTTCTATCAATCACCACCACCATTGACTTCAAAAAAGTGGGTAACGTTCGAGATTCTTCTTCAGTGGATGTTCATTGGCTTGTGTCAATATCTAAACCCAATTCTAAAAATGGGACTATAAATTTATCTTTACCTCCAATTTTTAGTAATGATCCGATTTTATCTTGGGTGTGGTCTTATATAGCTGCCGTGCAAATGGCTTTATTTTTCAAATCCGTTTGACATCCATTATTTGCTTCGTCTTCTTTTTTCATTTTTTTCATTTTTTTCATTTTTTTTAGATTTTGGGGTTGCTGCTAGATGAAGTGTAAATAGATCTATTCAATGTTTAGATCTATTTCAGAGGCTCAAATTGTAATGGTTGGAATGTAAGATTTTGGGGAAGCTAACCATGGATTTTAGAGGTTTGAAGGATATTTCTTGGGATAAAAATGAAATTTGTACCGAGGCATTTTCGCTAGTTGTGTGACAGTAGCGACGATGGTTAGGCGATGCTGATGACAGTGGTTGTGCGACAGTAACGACGGTGGTTGGACGATGCTGATGATAGTGGTTGTGCAGCAGTGACGACTGTAGTCTTTGATTTTGAAGGTGGAGGCGGGGGTGGGAGTGGGGTGTTGTGGAGAAGATGAAGTTTATTTTTTATTTTGCTTTTTATTTAATTATTTAATTATTTAATTATAAGAATATAAACATACCATTTTACCCCTCATTTCATTTGTCAATTTGAGTTAAAAACCTGATTTCAGTGTTGACTAACGGAATTCTGGACGGAATCTGTACAATGGACTTCAGCTATAATTAAAATAAAAGGTCTGGGACCACGGTTGTAAATTTGAAAGTTTAAGGTATATTTTGCAACAAAATGAAAGGTTTGGAACCTCCGCTGCAATTTTCCCTTTCTAAGTTACGAAACTTATTCCCCATATTCTTGTTTCACCGTCAGTTATTTAGGCATTGGATGAATTTGGTATAGGAGCTTACATTTTAAGATTTAGTTTTCCAAAAAAAAATTGAAGAAAAAGAAGAAGAATAAACTACATTGTTCTTTCAGGTAATTAGCACAGAATTACTTTTCAAAATATTGTTGTGCAAAACGTCTCTACCTTTCTTTTTTTAATTTTTTTTTACATTTTCATCCTTATTATCATTGCGGAATAAGGTCAATTTCTTAATAAAAAAATGTAAAATGACAAATATATCATCTTATTTAAATTATAAAAAAAAATACGAAAGAGGAAATTGCAATTATACTCCCAAACTTTAAAAAAAAAACTGTAAAGTTGCTTTTCTTTTTGTCTAACTAACATCCTTTTTTCTGTGTGAGTTTCGAGAATATCCCCATTCATATGTCCGAGATCTACATCTATGAATTGAAAGGTTCGGTTCGCACCAGCCTGTGTACTCCCCACTCGGGGTCATAGCTCTTGATGGCTCTCTGGCTGGCATCAATCCCTCATTCCTGGTGGTTCCTCCATTGATCAAGAATTTCGATTTTCGAAAAGTATCATGATCATCCAATAAGAAGGGTTTCCTTAGGGGTGTAATGCAAAAAGCTCAAGAGATCTATTGGAAGCTGTACACGGTGTATACAGAAAGGAAAATCGCTAAAAAGCTTTTGATGTTGATTCGGGACGGTGCGGGTTCAGCGAAGTCGATTTCCAAAACAAGATTCGAAATTCAACGAAGAAGAAGAAGGCCTACTACTATTTACAACTGGTCGAACTCAATAAATATAGGGGGAGCTGAACGAGGGCGGTCCAAATAAAATTATTAATAGGGTAATTAACACAAAACATCCTTATATTTTCAATATTATTGTGCAAAACATCCATACATTTCATTTTTTAACATTTTCACCCTTATTTTCACATTTCATTATGAAAATCATCATTTTCAT